CCCCCCCCCACCCACCCCCAGCCCCCCAACGACACACACACACACACACCCCCACACACACACACACACACACACGTCTGTACACATATATGCATGCACTCACACATGCACACGGATGCCCTCAAGGACACACACACACACACACACACACACACACACACACACACACATCTATATACATATATATGCTCACTATGTAGACTAGGCTGGCCTTGAACTCAGAGATGTGCCTGTCTCTGTCTCTGCTTCCTGGGAAAAAGGCATGTACCACCACTTTGTGTTTATGTTGTCTATCTTTTTTACTCATATATAGTTTTTATACACACACATACACACACACACACACACACACACACACACACACACACACACACACACATACAAAGATATTTTCAAATTTCCAACCTTAAATTTGTGGTGTATGGGGTTGATTTATTTATTTAACCACTGTGAAACTCAGTTTCTCTGACTGCAAAAATAGGTCTATTCCAAGAAGCTGATCTGTAGGTGGCGCTATTACACCCGATGGTCTTCCTGTCCCTGGAACAAGTATTGTAGGTTCCTGAACCCCAGGGCACCAGCATCTCTTGTTTAGACTGCCAGAGCTCATCAGCATTCTCTAGCTTCCAATCTATTGGAAGGTCTCCAGGGCTCACCTTCTCCACCAAACAGCATGAGCTTCCTAAGAACAAAATCTACATCACACCCAGACTTCCTATCATAACACCCCAGCTCCCCCATGACCTCAGGCTATCCCCAGTTGTCTCTATCCTCTGCTGAGATGCTCCCTCCCACCTGCTTCCTTCCTTTTGTCTTTTTTAGCCTGAAAGCCCTCATCTTGTCTAGGAGGTGTTTCTGTATCATCAGCTGTGCCTTTATCTGTAAAGTCCAACATAGTCACTACTGGGTACTTTGAAACAGGGCTAAGCTAGATAATAAAATAAAGTTTTCATCTTTGTCTTTAAGTAGTCATACAACTTATTGGCTGTTACCATGAATGAGCAAACACACAGGGCCTCTTCAGGTTCTGTCATGCCCTCCCTCAGGCCTCAAGCTGTTCTTGTGTATGTGTGTACTTTTTCTTCTTTCCGTAAGGTTCAAACTAAATGCCATTTGCTGTACACTTCCATAGGATGGTAAGACTGAACAGGACAGCATGGGATGGAATGGACATGAGCTCTGCCATGAGAAACGTTCAACCAATTATCTCTCATTGGTGCAAATAAAGTTATATACACTTCAAGGCAACAGAACAGTGTACCCTCTGGTTCTCACCAGCAACTGTGTTTCCAAGAGATAGATGAATTAGGCCAGGCCAGCCTTCAGCTGCCCTTGATTCCACAGTGGAAGGCAACCACAGATAAGGTTGCAAGTCACAATTTATTCCACCAACACTTTTGTTTGACCTTTACAGTATTTTAGAAATAGTCAACATTTTAAATGGACAAAAGTTATTTTGCTAAATGCAAGTATTTCTAATTCCTTTTAAAAAATCAAGAACATCAAACCACACTGACTTTGTTCATTCCTTTTAATTATCAAGACAACCATTTTGATGTGGTAACCAGTAGCGACATACAGCTATTGCCACTAAATGAAAACTTAAGGACAGTAGGCTTCAGAAATAGCAGTGGGTGGGGGAGGGGGAGATAAGTTTCTGACTGAGTAATTTAGGACCTTTCTTTCTTGTTCTCATTTAACAGTGAGTCCTTGTCTGGACTGTGAACACTCTGTAAGGGCAGGGAGGAGCTTGGCATTGACCCTCTATCCTATCTAGTTCTAATACATACTGAGTAAATGTCATAGAGACAGAAAGCGAGCAAGCTGGCTAGTGTTGTGGAATATTATTTGAAGATGCGTTACATTTGTCTATGCTGTGGAACATTTGTTTTAATGATGCAAAGATGCACTGCATTCTTTTATGTTGCATTTGTTTAGCTCTGTAAAGCTGTGTTCCTTTGCCTGTCTAAAACACTTGGATGGGTCCAATAAAGAGCTGAATGGCTAATAGCAAGGCAGAAGAAAGGATAGGAGGGGCTGGCAGGTAGAGAGAATGAACAGAAGGAGAAATCTGGGAAGAAGAGACCAAGGAGCAAGAAAAAGAGGAGGACATCAGGGGCCAGTCACCCAGCTACACAGCAAGGCACGGAGTAAGGAGTAAAGAACGGTATACAGAAATAGAGAAAGACAAAAGCCCAGAGGCAAAAGGTAGATGGGATAATTTAAGTTAAGAAAAGCTAGCTATCAACAAGCCAAGCTAAGGCTGGGCATTTGTAAGTAATAATAAGCCTCCTTGTGTATTTACTTGGGAGCTGGGTGGTGGCACCCCAAAAGAGCAAAGAGCCAAACAATAAAATGAATCAAAACAACAACTACAGGCTAGAGATGAGGTGGAGTGGAATGGAGGACCACTAGAAGCTATATTTCTCCAGAACTTTACAGTGGTGTAAATACAGATGCCCATCCCAAGGGACAGGATGGAATGTGTCAAAGGCCACTCTGCTGGGACTTACTGATGAATGATGCACACAAGGTACTCGGCACCAAGGGTGTGCTTCTCGTATCCTTTGCCTATTGTCTCTACTAGCTCTAAGAATGAAAAATATGTCTAAGAAAAAGCATGAAAGCACAATGGTTAAGAGGTCTCTGAATCCAGACTATTTACATCCAAATACTGACTACTTCATATTTTGAACAAGTCATTGCATTCTTCCATGCCTCAGTTTCCCCAGCTGGATAAAGGCAATGGCAATGCCTACCTCTGTGGGGGATTTGGGGGAGTTTATGAGTAAGGCACAAAGAAACTAGTTTTAACTCTTGCTCTCTTAGGGAATATCAGAAAAAAAAGGATGCACTGATGTAATACAGAATAAAAGAAGAATTTGGGGACTGTCTTTGTCTTTTCTTGGATCTTTCTCTCAAGGTGTACAACCTCTCATAATTGTTATGCTCTCATGGTTGCATTCCCCAGCATGTGTCCATACACAAGCAAACATTTCTCTGCTAACTGTTTATGTTTGAGTCCCACACAGCCAATGAAGACCTGCCTGACAGCAAT